TTGTATTTGATATAATTGATATAATTTATTTGTATGCACTTCGCACTTGCACTTCACTTGCACTTTCACGCTCGAATGACAAAATTTGCACATTTCGGCTTGTGCTTAAGAAAAAGTACCGTTTAACTTAGATATAAGCTTAGATAAGAATCGCTTTTCGATCAGCCAAGCGAGCAGAATATGATTGCATAGGAACAAAGCAAAACCAAGCAATGATCATATTTTAATCACCTGCATGCTCATTTGGCGATTGCTTTGCATTTCGTTTTTGTATTTTAAAGTAATCATACTTTGAGCATATGGAAGGGTCATTTATGAGTCTTCTTTCGATCGCCCGGGAGATTCGTCGTTTTTTAATCGTCAAGGGGACTCAAAGAAGACTCATCAAGACGATTTCTGTTAAAACAGTCTTCCAAATGCTTGCTGGGATGACAGCCAAGCCAACCAGACATGACGGGACGTGCACTTTATCAAATTATATAATATGTTATACTACGAATATCAATAATATAAATGAGTGTATAAATTATTGATAATGTAAGTAAAGAGCGATATCAAGAAACGCTGCTGTGATTAGAGGCAAAGTAACTGATAAGATAGCATTGAGAAAGATATTACCTTTTCAGGCTATTTGATTTCTAAGAGGTGCCTTGAATTCTAGTTTTGAATTTTAGCTTTTAATCAAATAAAAGCATATGCGTAGAGTACCTTAAAATCTCGTCTGTGCATTAACAGCAGCAGAATTATTGCTCTGCACAATTCTAATTGGAAATTGCAATGAGTTTTTCATATGGGCTCTGAGTGTACCAAATACTCAGAGCTAATAGCAGAGCTAATAGCTCTGTCAATTCGTCATTGGTTGCTACTTTTTTACTTGTATTAGTGCGAGGCTGAGGGTTGGTGTATAAATATTATCCGAGTGAGTTTGCGCCTTGGCTAAACGCTGCTTATTTCTGATTCCTTCTCAGCGAGAGCGAGCGAGACACAAATAGCTGTTGCTGAGTGAAGTGCCGGGCGCTACCTAGTGAGAGCGAAACAGCTATTGTGTCCAGCTTGTTATGATCATCAATGGACGAAGCGAAGCCAACTGAAAATTGACATTGAAAGTTTTTGGTGGAAAGTGAGAAATTTGACATAGCTGTGACAGACTTATATGTATATACATAGTTGTTTACATTAAGTACCTGCACGTTAATTGCTTGGAATTCGCTTGTAAGATACTTTAGTTATAATGAAAAACAAACAAAAATCTGCAATTACTATCAATGCCATTACTTGGAAAAGACAACTAACGATTTTATGAACAGATAATGATAAGAAGAACATTCGACAATCGATCATCGTAAATCTTGTAGTTGTAGCAGATAGCTTATCTACGCGAAATACTGATAAGCTCTGGCGTAATTATAAATAATCATGGCTTACAGATGTTGGCCACAACTATAAATGGCTTGTGTTGGCTTTCGCAGCGACTCAGTTGTGCTTTAAGATGTTTACCCATTTGCTGCACGTTGTTGGCTCAGTGCTGCTGTTGGCTGCCGCGTGTCAGGCGGCCGCAGTGCCCGACGGACGTGTGGTAGGCGGCCAGGATGCGGCCAAGGGACAATTTCCGTATCAGGTGTCGCTGCGTCTTCGCGGCTCCCATAACTGCGGCGGCTCGATTATCTCACGCAACTATGTGCTTACGGCGACTCACTGCGTCGTCTACTTGGATAGCAACGGGGAGCAACAGGTGTATCCGGCCAGCCAGATTACCGTACGCGTTGGCACCAACGATCGCTTTAGCGGCGGTGCCCTGCACCACATCGCTCAGATCATAGTGCACGAGAACTATGGCGATTTCTTGAACGATGTGGCTCTGTTGCGTGTCGAGTCGCCGTTCATCTACTCGGAGAACGTGCAGCCCATTCCGCTGGCCAGCAAGGATACGCCTGGAGGCGTCGATGTCGTCATCTCGGGCTGGGGTCGTCTCTGGCATCAGGGTGATCTTCCCCGCTACTTGCAATGGAACACGCTCCGAACTCTGACGGTGGACGAATGCGAGAAGTCGATAGCCTGGGGTGTGCCGGCTGGCCTCTGTCTGATTCACGAAGCGAACAATGGCGCCTGCAACGGCGACTCTGGCGGCCCGGCGATCTACAATGGCGAGGTGGTGGGCGTGGCTGGTTTCGTTGTGGGCGGCTGTGGCAACATCTATGCAGATGGCTATGCCCGTGTCTACTATCACGTGGATTGGATCAAGAACCATACGGATGTGGAGTAGACTCGAAATATTCAGTTCGCATTTAATTGTTTTAAAAACAATTTTTTTTTTTTTCATCTTTATTTTTTACCCTTTTTTTATTTTCAATAAAATTGTATAAAACATGTATTTAATTTTCAGTTTAAATATTATTTGTTTTATTTATTATGTAAGTGCTTATATTGATGCGCCAATATCTGCGGGCTATTGAAGGGGTTTTTTATTGGAGGGATGCTAGTGGAGTGTGAGCTACGCCAGGGTCTCGCCTCGTATTTTGCATATTTATCAGGCAATTTCACTCTAAATTTGCCAATTATGCGCATTTTTTTTAACAGCATGACCCGAATAGACACCAATACATATTCACACACATACGTAGGCATGTGTATGTGTATGCAGAATTGCTTTTTATGGATTCGCTACATTGTCTCATAGCCATTATTGTTGTGTTTATGTTTATCAAATGGCGAGAGTTGTTCATAGCTTCAATATATTAAAACTATACAATTTTATTTTAGGCATACAAATTATGAATATAAATATTGTATTTGGTTTTAATGTATTTATTAATTTTTTTTTTAATCAA